ATTCCCAGCACCCACATGGCAGCTAACAGCCATCAGTAACACCAGTTCCAGGGACTCCAACAACCCTCTTCTTGCTTCCTTGGGTATTGCATGTCACAGGTACACTTACATACATGCAAGAAAACCACTCAATCACATAAAATAGAAACAAATTTTAAAGAGTTAAAGTTCTGGGACTGGAGAGATGGCTCAGTGGTTAAGAGCACTGACTGCTCTTGCAGAGGACCCAGGTTCGATTCCCAGCACCCACATGGCAGCTGTGAACTGTCCTTTACTCCAGTTCCAGGGGAATCCGAAGCCCTCTTCTGACCTCTGTGGCGTTGCACACGGCAGGTGCACTCACATACATGCAGGCAATACACTCATATACATAAAATAAAAATAACATTTTAAAAAGGAGTTAAAGTTCTGATTGTGTGAAATAAAGATACATGAATGAAAATATTAAGCACAGCCTCCTGTATAATCACTGGGTAGTAAACTGCAGTTACTGTGAGTGCATACTATTGCCATGTGTTTACAGAGCTGAAAAGTGCTATACAATCCTATGCTTGGATACAGAGAATCCTTTATGATGTGTTTCGGGGCTGTTAATGAGGAATACTAGCTAAGGTTAGTAGCTTTTCTGACCCTGAGAATCCTTTGTAGAAATGAAGAGGGGAAATAGCTGTGCTTGAAGAAAGTAAGTTCAACAGACAGAAAATAAAGAATTTAAAAAAAAACATAAATACCTGTAGGGTTTGCATATCAATCTGCATATCAAGCAGGGGCTACATAACCTCTGTGTGTAAGGCTAAAATATTCCATCACTTAAAATAAACAATTTGGGGTTAAAACAAGGTATTATCTAGATGTTGCAAGAATAAAACTTTTCTCAATATCCATGTGGACTAGAGAAATAGTTATAGAATCATAGGCAAGTATGGTAGCAATACCTACATTCTGAACACTCAGGAGACAGAGGCAGGAGCACCACAGGTTTGAGGCCAGTCACCAGTTAAAACTATGTAGTTGAGACACTGTTTCCGATGCAAAGAGGGGAGGGAAAAAACAGGAGGGAGGGAGCAAATGAAGAATAAGAATTATGTAATGTGAACTACATCTATGACGTTTTGAAGGGGTGATTATTAGAGCAGCGCTGTATGAACAGTGAAAATGTTACCAGTACAGAATTCTAACACATTGAAAAGGTCATTAGACTGTTTTATGATTCTGTTATAAAGTATTTGCCTAGGTAGCCAACAACTTTTAAAAAAAGGACTTACACAATTATAAGATTAAATAGCTTCATCTTTTTGTAGCCCAAGAAAACTAGGCTAATCTATTGTTTTAGGCAATGTAATATAAGATACACTTAAAAGGTTAAAAAATGTCTTTGATAGGTGGTTAATTTGAGAGAAGCTGAGCGTAAACAACAATTACAGAGTAAAGAGATGAAACTGAAGGTTCTAGAATGAGATAATATGGTTCATGAATTAGAATCTGCACTGGAGCATCTGAAATTGCAGTGTGACCGGAGACTGATCCTCCAGCAAAAGGAACATGAGCAAAAGATGCAGTTGCTGTTACATCATTTCAAAGGTACTGCCCTTTTTGTCAGTTACGAAAAAGTGATGGGCTGGGCGGTGGCGCACGCCATTAATCCCAGCAGAGGCAGGGGATCTCCGAGTTCAAGGCCAGCCTTGTCTACATAGGGAGTTCCAGGTCAGCTGGGGCTACAAGGAAATCCTGTCTCAAAGACCGAATAAAACAAAACAAACAACAACAACAACAACAAATGGGTGACGGGCCAGGTGTGGTGGTGCACACCTTTCATCCGAGCACTCAGGAGGCTGAGGCAGGCAAATCTCTATGAGATCGAGGTCAGCCTGGTCTAGATGAATTCCAGGTGGGCTGAGGCTAGGGAGACCCTGTCCAAAAAAAAGTAATGGAATAGGAGAGGGTACTGAGGAAGGAAGCTGGGACTGAATGTGATTACCCAATATGGGATCCAGCATGTATACAGACATACTACCTAAAGAAGTTTTGGGCCTTTACATATTAGGCTACCATGTTTTGGTATAATTTTGATATAAGGCTATTAATGCTTGAAATGCCATCTTCTGCCTGCTCCTACACACGCTTCAGAACAATAGTCATACTAGCTGCTTGTTACTGTCGTTTTTATATGGAAATGTGAGAGAACTTATGGCTTTTTTTTTGCTACAGTTGAAAATGTTCTCTCTCTCCAGAATATAGTACTATGATACTTTAGCACTCAAAGTTAAAGCAGTAAGGTCTGTCATAGTCATAGTTACATTTCTTGTTATAATTTTCAGTTTATCATAAAATTTTGTGTAGTAAAGGTTTTATCTTAGGTCAAAATTGATGGGTACGTACTCTTATTAATGACCAGCAACAGTTCAACAGTATATTCTGGTGTAGAAAGAGTCGTCACAACAGTCAGGCTGCATATTACCTGAGCATGTGGTCAGTACTCAAACAGCTGCTGTGGTCGTAGAATCATTGCCAGTGGATTTCTGCTTCAGCTTCAGTTCAGGCTGCTTAGTCTTGATGCTCATGAATACCCAGCTGAAAATGAGTCAGAGGGATTTGAAAGAAACAACCCAGGGAAGCAGAAAACTGGAAAATATAACTTTTGAGGAAATGCGACAAGATAATTCTACATTAATTAGTAACTACTTAGCCCATTGACAGGATTTCCCTTGGCAGGTTCTCACGCGTTGCATTCAAACATGTTCTTATCTTAGTTATGTCTTAAGGCTCTAAAAGTGAAAACTGAATAGAATTTTTGTGTGTGTATTTTTGAAGTGACTAGGATTATACAACAGAAATTCATGCTGGAGCCAACTGAGAACATTCTTTGAATTATTTCTATAGGGCTGGGGATGCAGCTCAGTTGGCAGAGTGCTTACAAAGCATGCATGAAGCTTTGGAGTCCAGCACCAGCACCTCATAATAATGTACATGGTAGCACATTATTACGATACTCAGGAGCTAGAAGCAGGAAAATCAGATGTTCCAGTCATCCTCAGCTACATAGTTGAGTTAGAGGCTCTACTAGTTACTTTTCTATTGCTGTTGATAAAACACCATGACCAAGAAAACTTATAGAAGGAGCAGTTTATTTGGGCTGACAGTTCCAGAGGGATAAGAGTCCATCATGCTGGAAGAGGACGACAAGAGGCAGCAGGAGCCGAAAGCTGAGTGCTCACTTCTTTAAGCATGTGCAGAAAGCAGAGAGAGGGAGCAACTGGAAGTGGGGCAAAGCTATGAACTCTCAAAGTCTGCCCCCAGTACTGTGCTTCCTTCAGCAAGGTTCCATGATCCTCCCAAAACAGCACCACCAACTGACCCACTTGAACCAGTGGAGGTCACTTCTCATTCAAACCACCACAGAGGCCATCCTAGGCTACATGATACCCTGTCTCAAAAACAAAACCAAATTGTGTATATAGCTGTACAGGTTATTTACAGCAAAGTTGTAACTAACAGTGTTAACACTCTGTGAATTTTCTAATTTCAACTGAATTAGTATGGAAGATAAAGCTGAAATTTTATGTGACTTCCTCCCACCCCACACCTCCTCAAATTCAGACTTGCACATGCTAGTCAAGTAATCTACCACTGATGATTTAAAATAATTGTTTTTGGAGAATTTCCTACGTGAGCACTGTATTGATATCATTTGTACTCCTTACTCCCCCTCTCCAACCCTCCCACACACCCCCACTCCCTCTCAACTTCTCATCATCTTCTTATTGTTATGTATACGTACATACCTATGTACATACATACATACATACATACATACATACATACGTACATACATACTTTTGGGAGCTCATCCCTTAAGTTTTCTCCCTCCCATTCTCTCTTCCTCAACAGCCGTTGACTGCCTGTAGCTCTTCATCTAGAGGTGAGACCCAATGAAATTTTTCCCATCCACATTGGCATGTCACCTGGTGGTGTCATTATGCCAGCCTTGTTTAGGCATATTGTTGAGATTTCATGAGTGCAGATTTTCTGTCATAGCTGGAAAACACTATCTAGTAGCAAGGCATCCTGATTTTCTAGATGTTAGAGTCTTTCTGTCCCCTTTTCTGCAATGTTCCCTAAGTCTTAGGTGTAGGGTTAGGGGCTGTGTTGTAGGTGTATCATTTGGGGCTGGGCACCTCACGATCATGCACGTATCTTCTGCATTTTGACCAGCTGTGGATCTCTCCAGTAGCCTCTGACTGCTGCATAAAGCAGCTTCTTTGATGGTGGGTGTGAGCTGCACTTCTCTGTGGGTATAAGGATAAGAATTTAGAATACAGGTAGAAATTATATTGCTTTAGGAAAATGGAAATGGTAGATTCTGTCAATAGCTATAATTTTTGAAGCATGTGGACTTTTGGGCTGTATATTTCTTGATCCTATAAACCTTGGGATTTTCCATATCCAAAGTTCCCAATGTAAGCCTTTTTGGTCTTTTTGAGACAGGGTCTCTCTAGAGCTCTAGCTAACCTGGAACTCACTATGTAAACCAGGCTGGCCTTGAACTCACAGAGATCCATCTGCCTCTGCCTCCTGAGGCATGTACCACCACACCCTGCTACCTAATGTAAGCTTTAAGTAATATGTTGAATACAATTGATTGGAAGAGTTATAGACATGTGGATATTTCAAAAATAAGAAATGCCTATTTCTGTTGTTCTTAGGATAAGCCTTGTTTGTAGCAACTACAAGAAAATGCCTATGGGTCATGAACATGAAGTGTGTGGTGGGGGTAAGGTAAAGAAGGTGGCCAAGGGCCTAGTACCTCTGAAAAAAATTATAGGAAAAAAAAGAAATTATGGCCAAAACCACATCCATTTGGGTAACAAATACTGACCCTTTAAAAGTGTAACAACATACTTCTGACCTTTTAAAGTTAGCCTGGGGCTGTGTTAAAACGGAATTTTGAATCATTTATTTAAAGCCAATTTTAAATGTAAGTTTTTGTTTTGTAGAGCAAGATGGAGAAGACATTATAGAAACTTTAAAAACATATGAAGATAAAATCCAACAGTTGGAAAAAGATCTTTATTTCTATAAGAAAACCAGCAGAGATCTTAAGAAGAAACTTAAGGAGCCCACAAGGGAAGCAGTCCAGTGGCAGCTAGCATCAGAATGTAAGACTTACGTCTCATACTAACTCAGCTTCTCCAATATTTGGTGAGGTCAAACCTCATTTGTAGTGTAGCATTTTACAAGGAACAAGGTTATTCAGGGTGATCTATTTAACGTGTCTCTGTAGATAAACAGTATCTAGTCTATATGTAAGACATGAACTCCATGGGAGTGAAGGAAAATGAACAAGTGTGTATGTGTAAAGAGAATCATTTTTTTTCCTTATGGGCAAAGCTTTATTCATCATGGAGAATATTTAAATCAAATTTGAAAATTAGGACCAGGTAGGTGGCACACAACTTTAATCTCAGGACTCAGGATGCAGGCAGATCTCTCTGAGTTCAAGACTGGCCTGATCTACACAGCAAGTTCCAGGCCAGCCAGGACTACATAGTGAGACTCTGTCTCAAAAAATTAAAGTACAATATGGTTGAAGTATTATTTCAAAAAACACATTAACTCCAAATGAAAATTATCTGTGGTAGTATAAATGCTGGAGTTAATTCTTCCTTGTGCAATGGATTCATGAAATAAATCACCCCCCCATCCCCTATAGGTACGCCTAACACCACATAGGCAAGTGCTATACTACTGAGCTATTTCCCTAGCCTGGATTGGTGGCTCTGTTCTGTAGTTATCAACTGGAATGTAAACAGTGACTACAGAACTTTTCACTTCACGTACTGGTTGTAGATTGCCACTACAGATGTGTTAGCTTTCTTTTAGCAGCTGACAAATGTACTTTCAAGTACTAAAATATGTAAAATTCAAATATATAAACTAGCACACGGTTTTAATCCCTGCACTCAGGAGGCAGAGGCAAGCAAATCTCTGCAAGATAAGACCAGTCTGGTCTACATAGTGAGTTCTAGGCTGTCTAGCACTATACACAGTGTGACCCTGTCACAAAAACAAAAACAAGATTTCCAGCTTTTTTCAAAAATTACAATTGCTAACAATTTCTGAAAACTAGAGATTTGCACATAGATAACTGTATTCTAGTTTTTAGACTGATTTTTCAGAATCCTGATTTGATTCCC